GTATCAGAAATGGTGCTCAAGACCGTCCAAGAAGGCCAGTACAAAATGAAGTGCAGGCCTGTGTAGCCAATGACTGCACCATACTCGACGTGGCCCCTGTCACGCTGATCTTGGCGGATCTAGGCTGGAGTCCCAAATGACTCCCTGGTGGGGGGCAGCAGCACCACCAGTACTGGGTGTTCGTAACTGGTCTGGGACAAAGCTTGCTTCTCTCAGAGCAGGACGCTCACCCAGACGTTCAGTTATAGCAAGATCTATGAAACCCGTTCTGAGAGTCTTGCTGCACTGGGGCCCTAATACTCAGTGTCTTTAACGGAGCCTTCTGGGAACCCAGTCGTACGAACTCCTTCCCTCTCAGAAATTGTTGTCCTGTCCGAGTGTGCAAGAGTGTGTTTGAAGCGTGGTCTGACAGGCCACACTATATACATGACCTCGGACAGCAAAGCAGCACTAATGGCACTTGACAGTTTTGACTTTACCTCTAAGGCTGTATGGGACTGTCATCAGGTCATGAAAGCCCTAGGAAAGAACAACAAGGTTATCCTTAGTTGGGTTCCAAGACACAAAGGTTTTGCTGGCAATGAGGAAGCTGACAAGTGGCAAACAAAGGAGCTGAAAGCCCGCTCATGGGTCCAGAGCCGACATGTGGTATTGCTTACAACACAGCACGGAGAACTGTTTGCCAGTGGATGGGCATAGAACATCGAAGGAGCTGGTAAAGAACAGAAAAGGGGTGCGATAGCGGCAGATGCCCTTGGGCTGAATGGGAAGACCCTGCGGATGGTGGTTGGCTTCATCAGCGGCCATTGGTTATTCCATGGACATCTACACAAGATGGGAATTCTTGTTGAAAACCTCTTATGTAGGAAATGTGGAGAGGAGGAAGAGACAGCCTTTCACATGATATTTATGTGCCCAGCCCTACAAGGTCTGCATATGAGATCCCTTGGCCTATCGACTGGAGATCAAAGGGAAAAACAGGTTACCATAGTCAAAAGGATCTCATGGTTCACAAAGAACCTGGAATTTGACGGAGAATGAGGACCTGTGAATGAGAGTGCATAATAAGCTGTTCCAGCTGTGATACAATCCCATGGTTATTTGTAAGCCTGGCCCTCTGTCAAAAAAAAGAAGGACAAAATCATGAATATCCCCAGCAAATGTTCCTACGATAGCGGGAAAACCCTGAATATCTTCATCGGTCACAGAAGCATCGTTGTTGTCTTCCGCGATTGCAGCAAAATCTTGAATAACTCCCGCTGTTGTGTGGACATTATCATGATCTTCCGTGATTGTAGAAGAATTCTGTTAATCTCCCATGGTCAAGTTCATCTCCGATCATCATCGTCTCCGCGGTCTCATCCACAGTCACATCCGTCTTCACGATTGCGGCAAAATCATGAAAATTTCCCGCGGTTGTTTAGACATTATCATCGTCTTCCCTGATTGGGGCAAAAGGGTAAATTTTTCGATTGTACGATCTTTGCAGACATCTCGGATTACATAATCGGCATCTACTCTCAATGTTCAAGAATCGGTAGTATCGAGAATCTACATATCCCTAAAATAAGAATGGAGATTCAAGTATTGGGTAATTTAGGAATTTTAGATAATTTATGGTTTTCAGCTTTTAGCAAATAACAAACCAAACCAATTAAGGCCAACCAACCAGGAGTTTACAAGAAGAGTTTATTGGAAGACCTTAGAAGAAAATAAAAGATATGGAAATTTAAGCCATTCACTCTAGGAATGTTTACAAGTCCTGATTATAAGACAAATCAAAATGTTAGTCTAGGAGGAAAGTAGTTCCCTATTAAAATAACATTATGTGAGTACCTAAAATGGCGAATTAATCTCTTATACATTAAAGGTGTGAGAATCTGAGATTTTCAACAAATCTGAGCTCGAGCTTTAAAAAAAAGCTTTGGCTTCAAGCTTTGTTTGAGCCAAGTTTTTTAGACAATAAAATTAACTAATCATTAATTTGGTGATATGTGCATTTATCACAATATTATCGTGGTATATCATGATAATTCCCATGGTCGAGTGGACATCAACAGTGTCTCTCGACACACCGGAAAAATCGATTGAATATCCTTCTATCGCAGAAACATCATCTTCTTCTTCTGCGATCATGGCAAAATTATGGAATATCTACCGTGGTCTTGCTTGTAAACATCATCATCGTAATTTTCTCATTTACGATTGTTCTGATTACTGTACCTCCCACTGTCGTCCAAGATTGTGGCAAAATCCTGGACATATTTCGCAGTCATGAGGAAAACATTATTGTCTCATGCGATCACGGAAACATTACTGTTGTCATTCGCAATGACAGTAAAATCATGAATATTGTGATTGTGTGATTTTGCTCTTGTGAAAGCTCGGATCGATCACTCGAGCTTGTAGGCCAGGCTTGGCTCAGCTCTAAAATCGAGCTGCTCGCACACCTCAAGTTTAATGAGTACTCAGGTTTGCTGTTACAGGGAAGGACAATTTTTCCATTTAGTAACATGTCAATAGTCGAGTAAGAAAAAAATAAATTTTGCCAAATTTTATCAAAATATATCCATAAAAAGCAAACTACAACAGTGTACTAATCCTCCATAAGCTTTGAATAAAGGGCTTTGAAATCAATTGTGTTTTTGGCCTCTGAAGGCATAAAAATGAAAAAGTAAATCGGACTTGGGGTCTAGGTCTAACCATGCCAACTACAGGTAAAAGCTTCTTTCCTATACAGGGTGTTTCACGAGAACCCTGACAAACTGAAATGGTTCCTTGGATCAAAACTAGAAAAAAATGTCCTATAAGCATATGTCCTAAACTCACTCTTTTTCTATTTATACTTAAAAATAGGTTTTTTTAGTGTTTCAGTGTATCTGTTGAACATTTTGACCTCTAGATTGAAAGATTGACAAGATATTTTGATAAAACTTGCATTGATAGATAGAATATTACATTTCAGCGAGATTTCATTACTATTTTGGGCAAACATGTTGGGTATGAATAATACAAATAAGTTTTAAAAAATCTAAAATTAAAAATCCACATTAAAAATTATTTTTTGTTTTTGATTTTTTTTTTAAATTTGATTTTTTAACTTATTTTTATCAGTCATACCCCACATGTTTGCCCAAAATAGTAATGAAATCTCTTTGAAATTTAAAATTATATCTATCACTGCAAGTTTTATCAAAATATCTTGTCAATTTTTCAATCTAGAGGTCAACATGTTCAACAGATACACTGAAAACCTAAAAAATCTATTTATACGTATAAATAGAAAACACGTGAGTTTAGGACATATGCTTATAGGTAATTTTTCCTAGTTTTTACCCCAGGAACCATTTCCCGAAGTTTTTCATGGTTCCCGTGAAACACCCTGTATAGGAAATTCACTAAAAGGGTACTTTCTTTGATAGTCATTTTGAAAAACGTAGTTCTAGCTATTGCCACTGAAGACAATAATTGGAATATAGTTGATCAAAAATATTATCTTGTATTCATAAGGCCACTGAAGTTTTGTTATTAACTAAGAAACATCCCCATGTCAATTACTCTGTTAGGCATCTATTAGTATCAACAAAAACATAGGGATGGACGGGTCTTGAAGTTTCGAGAAATTTGCTAGATTAAAAAAATCTCGTTAGTTCGAGCAAGATTGACTTAGCTCCAAGAATTTATCAAGACAAGATTATAACAAAAATTTAAAATAACTAATACTAAGAACCCCTTTACAAAAGAAACGCAACAACAACACACTCCTGTATTGCGGGTACAGTACTGCAGTGACTTTCTGATGGCAGTTTTAATGGTGTACATCTCAAAAATCTGTACTGGTCCCGTATATACCGGATATACTAGGTTTTACTGTACCTATATGATATTATCACTGAGATCAGAAGTAACACTGTACAAGCTACTACAATTTTCTTTTGTCTCATAGATTTAGTTGTGTTAGGCCTAGATGTAGTGTGCACATTACAGTTATTTTATTTTTTTCTTATTTAAGATTTTCATCAGTTCTTGTAAGCTTTTGTTAGTTTGTACACAAATAAATAATTATTTATTGTACTTAAGTTGTTTTAATAGTGCCTCATTGTTATTAATTAACCATTGTAAAACTGCCCTAACAGATAATTCCCAATAGTAATGAGATCTATAATCTCGTCTCCCACTTAAAACCCAGTCTTGTCCATCCCTACAAATCACAAAAATATTTGAAAGAATTTGAATTTGTTATTTGAATTGCTCTGTCCTGTTGGAAATTGATACAGAAATATGAGTTGTTAAAAATCAAACACTTTTACAGTAGAACCCCTGATATCCGACCTTGGTCTTCCGGTCCTTTGCTTTTTCGGATACTTTTTGGAAGCCATTAACAAAATTTATTTCCCACAGGTTGCAGACGTGTAGTTGCACGCACTAGCCTCCACGACTCACACGCTCTCACAGTTTATCTGTTTATTTACAATGGTCAAAACAGTTGAGCAAGTATGTCTAACCCCTATAGTTGTTTTGTTAGAAAAACTACAGAACAAGGATCAGTAGACAGTTATAAACTATTTTAAGGCCTAATAATTTTTGACTTTTATGTTAATTTAACACTCACTTAACCTCTTTTTCCCATCAATCAATTTTCTATTGGTTTTACAAACATGTATTAAAAAAAAAAAAATGATATTACTTTTGACTACAGTTTGATTGATTGATTACACATAACTATTAGGAGTAGATCCCATAACATTGTTTTTATAATAGATTCAAATGATTATTTGGCAAGGACCGCAGTCTCGTGGTGGCAGATATGAGGGGTTCTACTGTACATCTATAAAAACTGTTAACAAACACTATTGTTTTTAAAAATGGACAAATATAAAAGTATAAATGCAAAAAACACAGTCAGTATGAACCTTTAAGAGTACTCATGAAGAATACTAACAGAATAAACTAGTAAGTACAAAATTACAAAACAAAATGCAACCGGAAATGTTGGTTACCTTTTGTTGACGACAACAGTGGATCGAGAGATGCGTTTGACGCTCAGAGCAGAGCCTGTTGATTCTGGTGATGTCAATCCAGTCACCTTCGCTAGCTTGACTGGGCAAGTCTCCGGTGCAACGTTGACATTTTGTTTTGATCTGGTGTTCATCCTGGTACTGCTGCTGCTGTCCAATAAACATGGGTTGAAATCAATTTGTAGAATATTTGTTTTTTTTCTCCTTTCAATTCTGACAAATGGTACATAGCCCACAATTATTGTGTAGTAAAATTTGCAATAAGGTAGATAAAAACAAATCAATTTTATTACAGTGAAAATAAAATTATACAGTAGACCCTCTCTAATCTGTAATCCGGCGTCTTCCGCGATCGTTCTTTAGATAAGGAAGACTTGACGGGTGAGGTCTTCCGCGATCGCAGCGAAATTCTGATTATCTCCCGCGGCCGTGTAGACATCATCGGGTAATCACGCAGTACCAGTAACGAAAACGTCATTGTTGCCTTGAGCGATAGCGGCAAAATCATGAACATCGCCCGTTTATGTTAATGTTGCATACATTAAAACTCAATCAACCATCACCGACGATTTGCAGAAGAATAACAGAAAATCGCTTTATAGATGGCAACAGCTTGGAAAATAACAGTGATTTTTTAAATAAATAACACAGTGTGCATGGTAATTACACACGAAATCATTTTATTTACAGTCTAAACATGCTAATATATATACTGTATAACTCAATAACTCATTTATTTAACCAAAAATAACAATTACATGCATTGGTCATGTCATTTAGCAAAACATACAGTTTCTTGACTTAAATAAGAAATAATAACTGTTCTTTTTTTTACACTAAGGATACCTATGATCAAACAAGTTTGATAGTTTATTTTAGCTGTCAGCCAGGAACTTACGGACGCTGTAATAAGCTTTTTTAAGCTGTATATTATTAAAATACCGCAACTTACAGTAAACAATATATATGTGACAGATGACAGAGTTTGGTGGTTGATCTGCATCTGATTTGGAAGGTTCCACTGCACAAGCATCTCACATTGCTTTTTTATACATATGTTCTTATTATTTGATCTCTGATAATGTTTTGAAGAAAGTTAAAAGCTTAAAATATAGTTTTAAGTTACAGTAGGTACAACCCCACTAATACGTAACCTAAAGTACCAGGACCAAGATTGGAACAGTGAAAAGGTTGGATTATCCGAGGAGCAAATGACCAAATTAGTTAATTGACATTTATTGATCCTGTGTGATTGCAGAAAACGATGAAATTGTTCCTGTGACCGCAGACAACATTTAATATTTGACCACGATCATGGAGACAATGACAATGTTTCCGTGACTTGTTCAATAATTTGCTACGATCACAGGAGACAATAATAATGTTTTCTTTACTGCAGATATTCAGGAGTTGGCCGCAATAGTAGGTAGACTACTAATAATTATAAAGTTTCTGTGTTTGCTGAAGACGATGATGATGTCGGCAAAATAGGGAGATGGTTAATATTTTGACTCGATCACGGAAGATGATTATGATGTCCATACCATGGGGAGGGGGGGGGGTAAGATCAGGATTTTGATGCAATTGCCGAAGACAATGACATTTTTCCCTGACCGTCAAATTTGCCGAGGATTTTTCCACGATTGTGGAGGGTGATGATGTATGTTTCCGTGATGGCGGTAAACGATGATAATTTGTTTAATGGGGGGAAAACAAGATTAAGCGATTTAGCGAGAAGTTGGCCTTACAGATGTCGGATTAGCGGGGTTCTACTATATATAGGACGTAAATACATTTGCTAGGATTTATAAACAAAAGTACAGTAACAGAATACAATTTCTATAAAAAAAAACCTGTTCCAAAAATATAGAATTGGAAGTATAAGCAAAGTTGCTAGTGGTATAGAAATTCTTCTATCTTCAACTTTCATATATTCAATATTCAGGAATGACGAGGGAAGATAAATTGAACCACTTACTACAGGTTGCTGGATCCTATTGTTCTGGGGTGATGTCTTCTCAGAGCCTTTATGTGGTTCAGACGATCTCCTTGGGTCAGGTTTGTTGTTTTGCACTTTACTTCTTTCCAACAGTAGGTTGGATTCTAAAGACAAAAAGCCGTGGTAAACTATTTACTGATATTACAGTCTAGTTATTATTTTTTTTATCAACCATAGTTCAAAGGATTTCTGAATTCAATTTTTTTTATGTTAAGTAGTTTATGGTTAAAGTTCTGTTAGGTGTAAAAAATGTGACAATTATTTTGTAAAAAGCAAACATAACTGTTATTTAAAAAATATCAGGTTCTAAAGCACTACTTACAAGTGCAACAATTACAGGGTTATTAAAAAAGAATGGTGTAAAATTAAACGGTTGGTACGTCCGTTTCCGTGATTTCAAACAGCTGATTGATACACCAATGGAAAGGGTATGTTTATAAGTTTGTTTTGAGAAGGCTATGTTTTGTCTCAGTTGCTTGTTGAGTACCACGAAGCATGCCAACAAATGGCTACTACAAAACGAGAATTTAAGCGTTTTATGTATTAGAATTTGCTTGTACTAATGCTATTCTTAGTGTTCAGCGAAACTTTCAGATCAAATTTAGGAAGGAGTCTCCTCATCAGAGCTGCATAGCTTGTGTTGGATGAGACAATTCAAGACAACTGGATGTTAGTGTGCCAGGAAGAGTGTGGGCCATCCTCACACTCTGCCATACGCTGTTGAGAGAATCGAAGCTAAGTTTGTGAGGAGCCCAAAAACCTCGACAGTCAAAGCTGGTAGGGAACTTCACCTTCACATACCGCAGTCTATGGTTTTACGCAAGCATTTGAGATGAAACCCATACAAACTGACATTATTACAAGCATTGAAACTTATTGACAAGCCAAAACGCACAGATTTTTTCCCATAATAGCTTCTAGTCTTTTTTTTATATTAAAATTAAATTTTTTGAAGGGCTTCATGGTACTCAACCAAGCAGCTGAGACAAAACGCAACCTAGTTAAAACAAACATACAAACAAACACGCCCTTTCCATTGGTAAGAAGAAAAAACCCTGTATATTAAAAATATATTAAATAAAAGTCTACTGAAATTTGTTTTAGCAGAGTATCTATTTAGTAAACCATATTCATGCATGTTGAATTTTCTAATAAATTGGCACAATACAGACATGGTTCTTATAAATTTATTCAATGGGTAATGTAGCGTGAATTATATAATTTTTATTTTGAATAATTCTTAGCACTTTTGCTCAATTTTCTGACTTCTTACTCGAACACTCAAACTTTTATGCTGGGTCGACTCAGCGAGCCTCAGAAATCAAACCCCTCAAACACCTCTATGTATGATACAGTACAGAAGCCTACTTGAATTATTTTGCTATATACACGTTTTAGTTGCTAACTTTTGTATAATTACTTCTAAGGAAAATATCACTGGCCATTATGGTGGAGTCCATGAATTTTGTTACCCCCTAAAATCTGAATATTCCATAATTTGTACTGGACAACTACCACATTTTTGCGAGCAATATATATTATATTGGTTTTTGGTTTTGCAAATTTCCTCACAGTTTTTTCCTGGCTGCTAAAAACTTCACAACTTTTTGACCTGAGGTAAATACAATTTTTAACTGATTTATTAAGAAATTGGTGAGCCCTGCAAACCGCTCATATTTTTTTCAAATAATAAAATAGTCTTAAAATCTTGTTATAGGAGTGTGGACTATAAACTATTTTTATTGACAGACTTCAAATGAAAACTTAAAACATACTATAATAATACATTTGTGCAAGTTTAAACACGTTATAGCAACACGAGAGTGGAAAACAGGTACCCAGATACCAGATACCAGATACATAACACAGATTTTAAGTCATAATTGGCATATCAACAAGTATATTGAAGGTGTGAAAACTAAAAAAAAATCACAGCAACACCTACGTTTTCAAGAGTATGTCCCATTTTCTTCTCCTCGTTCTGATCCTCAAGCTTCATGGTGTCCACTTTGTGCAGGATCCTGGACAGCGTATCGGATGCTTTCCTTATCTTCTGTGCGGAGAAAGGACTTCTGTTTATCATCTCTTTCCACTTTATGCTGTAGATGCCATACGTGTGCTTGGGTAGACAGCTGCGGCCTTGCAATCTTCGCATCTGATCACCTTCCATCCACATCTGAGGTTCTTTCCTGCATCATAATGGTTCCAAGATAAAAACATATCAAGTACAATAAATTAAATGACATCAATATAACACCAACAACAGTTTTTAAAAACAACTAAAATGTCACATAAGGTAAAGTATTTTGTACTACACTCCATTCCACATTAACTGTGCAGAACCGCAAAACGTAGACCAGTTGTAAACGGTGACCCAAAAAACCGGACGTTTTAAAAATAATCATTACTCATTTGTTTTTGCGTAAATTATAACTCATATTACATTAGGGGATTACATGTGGGGATTTTACGGGGAAATTTACTACCAGCCTACACCACAATAAAGCACCCATTCCTAGCTAAATGCAGACATATAAATAAACACTCTTCCCGGTATGCTGCTGCGCAGAAATGAAAGTAAGCGATGCCTGCACTCACCGGTGAGCGTTCAGCGTGGCAGAAATGAACTAGAGCACTCACCAGTGAGTGACCCGCAGCGAAAGCGTTAATAGATTTTTAACTAAAAGTAATGTAACTGGTTGATATAAAAAGTTGTCGTCCGCATCAACCCAGCGTCGGGAATCCCCCGCTCAGCCATTCTACACGTAGCGGTATCACCGCGGGCAGCAGCTCACCTCACATATCTTCCACAATCTTGTAGTAATTATCATTCATTATTATCATTTCCTGCAGTCACAGGAAATCATCATCATCTTCCTCAATCACAGCAAAACCTTTGATATCTCCTCGGCTGTGAAAACATAATCATTGTCTCCAGCGATCTCTGACGCATCGTCATTTTTTTGGGGATTGCGGAAAAATCTTTCTATATAATACTCTGAATTAAAAAAAAATTCAATTATCCAACATCTTTTGGTTTTAATTGGTTAGTATTGAGCTCCATCTCAAGATTACCTGGCTCAAAGTAACTTCTACAATACTTAACCTAAACCCAAAATTTACATAAACTTAAAACAAATATTGGACCAACACTTACATCTTGAGCCACTCCTGCTGGTGACCAATGATAGAGCCAGGCCTGCATATCCGTATCCAAGCAATCGCTTCGAGGACTGTGAATTTGTAATGCTTCATGATGTAGCAACCTATCAAGGAGCCAGTTCGCCCCAGTCCAGCTACAAAGATTTGGTTGCAAATCAACATACATAATTTGTGTTTTATAAAACATTTAGTCTATTATTTAAGTCATAAATTTTGCAATATAAAATTATTTTTGGTAGTCATTGTCATCTGCGGTCTTTGCTAAATCGGGAAAATATCCCCCAGTAATAACAAAATGATGAATATCTTCCTCGGAGACTGCAATATTACGAACCTCTTTTAAACTAAAAACAGGGTGTTAATTTTATTTTTTTGCGTTTTTTTGTTTCATGACGGTTTAGCCTCTGGATCAAGATAATGCAAAATATAAAAGGTTTAATTTACCTGTTCCGTCAATTGATCCAGTGTTATAAAATAACTACAGCTTTTTTTGCTGCTAAGCGAGCACATCATCAGGTTGGATGAACGTTAAAATAAAGTTTTCTCATCCGTGAATAAGGTCGTCAGCACATTTAGGACACATAGCACGATGAAAAACAAACAAAACGACATTTAAGTATTTACAATTAAAAAAAACTTGGCCAATTAGTCCGAACACAAGGTGAAAACCAGCTGAAGTTAATTTATAACACTGGATCAATTTAACGCAACAAGTAAATTAAACCTTTTATATAGGTAATTTTTTTTAATTTATTTTGCATAATGAAATTATTGACAATGGTCATCTTCTAAATTGCATCAAAACCGTTAACATCAGCCAAGATCACAGTGGAATCGTAAATTCTTTGGATGCTTTCTGAGAACGTGATGATAAAAAACAATATTTTAACATTATACATTTTTATACAGTGCTCGATTTGCAGCAGAATGGTATTGCGGTACCTCTCTTTCGGAGAGATAAACATAATGGGTGAGGTGAATAAAAGGTAGTATTTGGTAGTACGTACTTCTTTTTGTAGTATTTACTCGGTTTTCGGTGAATAAACATGCTAGTTGATACTAGCCCCTAGTACAAACTACATCTTGCAGGTGAATAAAATGCAAGTTCGTACTACCCCTAGTACATACTTCGTCATTTAGGGAACGTAGTATCTACTAGGCTTTTTCGGTGAATAAAAACCGGCCCGCATAGTAGTTACTTCATTTTTATGTAGTACGCTCATGGGCATGCTTCAGTTTGGTAGTTTGCGAAGATGGCGATGTTTATACAAGAGTACATAACAGGAAATTGTACCTTGAAATAAGAAATGTTGGTAACTGTAAGCAATTACTGTGATTTGAGAATGGTATTGTTGATTTTTTTACCAACAAGTTTTTTCCCCTCTCCAAGCTCAGTCGTAGTATTTACCGTAACAATTCCCTTTTTTTCCCTCACCGAATTTTTCAATCTATCTAATAACTTTTTGAGTTTAACTAGATTAAAATCCTTACCAAGTGTTTTGTTGTATCACCTAACATTTTCAACTTCACACTGTTTTCCCCTTTACCACGCCCGGAATTTTGGATTTCTCAAAGTAATAGAAATGTTTATTTCGCAGCTTCATCCCCTTGCAAAACTTGGTCAACGCCATCAAAATCGTCCTCAAACGCAGTTAACCAAATACTAGGTCTATTTGATCAACACGACTGAGAAAACTGCAGGCGCAGACAGAAATGGCAAACAGATTATCGCCGCGCGCCAGTTGTGACTTGATTATGAGTACGTACTAGGGGGTAGTACGTACTAAGAGGATAGTACATACTACATCATTTAGGGAACCCCTAGTACTTACTACCTAGTTCTAGCTAATTCTCATTCACATAGATTTGAGCAAGTGCTAGAACTACGTAGTACGAACTATGTAGTATGTACTAGTTTTTATTCACTTCACCCAATGGCATAAACAGGTACGCTACTAATCACATTAATTAGGTAACTTAATATAATAGGTAAGATTGATTAATTTGTATAAGGTTGTTTAAATGTTTACAGATCTCCTGCTGGAGATATACATTTATTTTTGGAAAAGTTTGAGTGAGTAATGAAAAAACTTTTGAAACTAGATAAATTCATTTCAGTATGTGGGGATTTCAATATAAAAATGGGAGCAGGGAGGGATAGGTCATCAATGAAATTCTTAAATTTGTTAAGTAGCCTTAATTTGATTTGTACTAACAATAGAAAACACGTGGCACAGCATGCCTGGATAATGATATTGTAAATTTCTCAACAGATATGTATCAGGTAGACATAATTCATGGATGATTTACTGATCATAGTGTTTTGCTATTTAATTTTTCCCATGGCACAGATAAACAAATATCTAATAGTTCTGCCAAACAATGTGTTAGAAGGCAAAATGAAGAGGCTATAACATGTTTTATGGAGAGATTTAAGTCTGAAAAATGGAACATGTTCGCTGATTATCATTATGGTTGGTAATATTAATGAGGCAACACTTTTTGATGAGTTTCTCAGGAAGTATGTCCAATTATGGCACTCTAGTTCCCCCTTAATTAGTATTAAAAATAACAAATCTAAATCTGTAAAGAGTAAACTAAATTGGTACAGCGATAAATTGAAAAAGCTCAGAGAAAAAAATGATTGCAGCCTTCTCAATTTATAAACAACTATTAAAGAATAACTATGAAAACACTCAAAATGTTTATAAGATCTACCGGAAATGTAAGAAGGAGTACAATTCTGAGCTTAAATTATCCAAAAGAAAACTTTTTAAAAACATATTGAACTTGCTTCCAATAGATGTAAAGCTGCATGGGAGGTTATCAATCATGAAAACTCACCAATGTGTACCAAGTCTGTAAACTTAGATGCTGACAAATTAAATGATTATTTTGTTAGTTTGTTTTGATTCAGTTAGGGAGCTGGAAAACCGCATTGATGTCGTTAATAAATGTCCATTGGATTTATTAAGTAGCTCTCATGACATTTTTACTTTGGAGGGGAGTATCATCAGATGACATAGTTAAAATAGTTTCCAAGCCTGATCTGGAAACTCAAAGATTTTGTTACTTTTGATTATTTAAGGACAGCATACTTTGCTTTTTTCAGTCACATATTTCCTATGGACTAATGCTGTGGGGGCATTTGTCTTATTCAGATGAAATTCTTATTTTACAGAAAAAAGTCATTCGGACCATTTGTGGAGCGGGTCCTGTGGATCACTGCAGACCTCTTTTCATCAGGCTTAGAATTATGACAGTAATTAATTTATACATTTATCAAATAATGCAGTATACAAAAATTAACCCACATGAATTGAATATAAGACACGATTTTCATTCTCATAATACAAGGAATAAACTACAGCTAGACATAACAGCTCATAGACTTAAAAGAGTAGCAATAGTCATAGACTAAACTGCATTAATTTTTTAATAAATTGCCTGATTCAGTCAGAACTGTATCCTTCAAGATATTCAAATCTAAATTATGGAATGGTTGATAAGCAATCCTTTCTAAGGCATCCATGAATTTCTTAAAACAAAAGTTGATATTGAATTTTGTTGGGTATCTACATTATCCATATTTTCTAGACATGTCATATTAACTAAGTATTTTCTAAACTTTGTATTTTATTTGTTAATTTGGAATGTTTTGTATGTGTTTTGACTATGTATATTATATTCCTTTGTACAAAGAAAGGTCAATGGCAATAAAACTCTTGATTCTTGATTCTCACATAATCTCTGGCGATATTAGTTAATAATAGCATTTATTTACTGGGATATTAGTAGTCAATGCTACAACAGTGGAATTTCTGGTTATGTTTGCTATTTCAGTGCAGACAAAATGAGTTAAACGTTACTTTGAGTTTAAACCAGCTGGTAATATGGTTTAACTTTTGACCCAAGTTAAACTTCCAAAGAACAATGCAGAAACTAATGAGCCAGTTAAACTAACAGGGTTTAAACCACTTTGTAGAAACCGACCCCTAGTAAAATAAAATTATCTAAAGTACCTTTGCAATGAACAGCTATTACTCCAGTGGCGTTCTCAGAAATACTCAGGAATTGACGTACAATATTATCTGTGGGTGTGCTCCCATCCAAGAAAAAGAGTTCTTTATGATCAAAGCCACCGGTTGTGAACCTGCTTGCCTCATAAATCTTTTTGTTCAGCCGGACAACAGTTGTCACATTGTTTTTGCGAAAGTATGCAAAATACGATTCTGGTGAATGCAGTGGATAGCCTGAAAAAAAAAATTGAACTAGTAAGGCATATTTTATTCGGAGGTGGAAATTAGTGAGTGATTATTAATTTTAATTAAACGGTTGGTTAAAAAATAAGCATCTTTTTAAGGATGACCTATGCTGAAAAAATGAGTACGAGCCCACATACTTATTAGAAGTCAAAAGTTGGTAGGATATGTTTTAGGAAAAAGCATTTAGCGTGGATTAAATAAATATATAGGATGGAGAGGACACAGCTAACTCACCTGATGAAAGGTTGCAGACAAGTCAAACAACACATAAAAACACACACATAATAATACTTGATAATTTTCCTACAGTCACCCGACAAAGTTGGCTTCCTTGTACTGTTTATAGTACAGAAAGCTGCTAATTGCTGCATATTTATACTTTGCCGTACGGTTTATACTTTGCCGTACGGTTTATACTTTGCCGCACACCAGGATTCCAACGAAACAACACAAAACAGCGTGGTTCTATTATGCATGTAATCCGTGTACGCTTGAAAATAGGTTGGCAACACTTAAAGATAATAATACTATGAGCAGCTGATTGACTATTATAACTACGATTTAACCTGTCATTTCGTGTTTATAGTTTCGGTATTTCTGAACTTTCTGGACTTTTCTTTTAAACGTTTTTAAAACATTCCTACGATCTTAATAAACAAGAAAATACCTTTAAAGCATTTTTTTTAGGCGCGGAAACCACTTCAAATTACAAAAACATACGGAACTATATTCTCAAAACGCGGAGCACATTTCTTGCCGAGGAAAAATAGCGGAGTGATACGGACCGCGGGTACTACTTTCTCTAGGGCACCATTTGTGTTGCCAGCTGAACCTAAAAACGTGTTGTATAGTGTTTGAAAGACTAATTATTTATATGCTTTATAGTGACTGTAGGAAAAATATAATGTGTAACACGAGTGAAAAAGGCCTTTGCTGCACTCGAGATCATTCCGCACTCGCCTAAACATTGCTCTCGTGTGCAGCAAAGTGCCACTTTCACCACTAGTTACACAAATAACTATCCCCTCTTTCAGAGGCTTCTTCGGAAATAGGCTTGGAAGGCAGTAAAAAAAACACAGTTTCAAATAAGATGTAACAGTTTGGATTCAAAATGTCTGACAGGTTGTCCAACTGACACAACACAAAGCACAAAATACAGGAACATTGCAATATTGTATTAACATATAAATATTATATAAGTATATATAGGCTATATATATATATAAAAGTAAATTAGTTTTGTCCATGAAACTAAATACTTAAGAGTTAGCTGTAAGGGTGAGGATAAAAGGATATTATGTAATGTTGAGGTTAGGTGGGGTTCTGGAATTGGTCTATAATGCTCTTTTGGTGGAGATTTAAAATCCACAGAAGATTTTTGTGTGTTTAAGAAAAACTTAAAAGCTTAATATACAAACCTTTGTATTCTCTACATGACTTTTCTGATAAATATAATTTTATAAACTTATCTCTATGATTAATTTCATGTAAATTGCAGTGTACATTATTAACTTATAATGCTTTTGTGTATTGTAAGTTAGCCTATTAAAAATTTTCCATCTTATGAAAGTATCCCAGATTTACATTCTATTTACGCCATTCAATGTGTACGCATGTATAAAAAATGAATAAAGATATTTGAATCTTGAATCTATACATTTATAGTTGGTAGTTGGACTAATCCATCATTAGGTCTACAGAAACATGCAACATCCTCTGTGCAGATTCGTCACATTTTCATAACCCCACATAGCCTACATAAAATTGCACATTTAAAAAACTATTAACATTTATTTATGTTTTGGGGGGGCCATCGATAGACTCTGACCTTTTCCAACCCAAAATGTATACATAGTCAAATGAATTAAGAATTAATTTCCTGGACGGAATAAGGTGCATAACCTTGATTACTTATAATTCAGTTATTCTGGATCCTACAACGATGAATAAAAAAGAATCTAAATTATTTCGCATTTATAATTATAATTTTTTTCCTGTACTTACCATTCTCTATTCTGCTTTTTCCATGAGGTCCACAAAACGCAATAAACTTCTGGGGTACAATCCAATTCAGGTCACCATTTTCCACTTTCTATTAAACAAAACACAAATTGTTTTTGAGGGATTGAAGCAATTTTAAAAATTAACGATTTTCTGGTTCCAGTAACAAGTATAGTTGTTATTATCAAAGTACCACTGTAGGTTACCTTTTTTAATCACGATTTTTTTTTCACTCAAATATCTGAATATTATAGCTGAACTCGTCCCATGATCAAATAAATTTACTAGAGTTAAAAATTAAAGGAATAAATGTAAAATGTACTTGATTATAAGTTGATAAATAAACAACAATAAAGTGAAACTAAAGCAAGGAATATTTATAGTTTGCTGTCATCGGTGAAAATGATTTTCAAGTGAATGAGTGTGAATATAGAATATAATTTTTGGGGACATAGATTAATTGTGAGGTTAGGTTAAGTAATTTTACCTACGACCGTTTTATAAAGTAGCCGTTTCAGTTCAGTTCTTAGAACTGAAAAGTTTCACATAACAGCATAGTTTTACCCATAACAACATGTGTAACAGACCAATGAGGTTCAAGAGTTGAGAGATAAGTAAAATTGTAATGAGTCAAACTTCAACTAATCATCTGTTCAGCCCAATTTTATTTTTGAGTGGTGCAATTAGTGTTTGGTACAATGTTTTGTTGCATCTCTGTCAGTGGCAATGAGAGGTTATAAAAACTAAAACATAAGTTGAGTAGTGATTTTATGTAATTAAAACACTGTCATAGGTAAAGTAGTGTACGCAACTCACGTTAACCATTTTAACAACACTCGTAGAAGTTTTTAAGGCACTCAGCAAGGCTCGTGCCTTAAATTTTCTACTCGTGTCGTTAATACTATCAAATCAAATCAAATCAAATCAATTTATTCATCACAAAAATTCATAATACAGAGGCTGAATATCAGCAATGAATATGTGACATGTCAGTACAAATCATGCATTATAAATAGTTTACAAATAATAAATATATACAAATATTAAGATTACAGTTGACAGGATAAAAATGAATTCATGTCATAAGGACAAAGTGCAATCAGTTTTTCTGAAAGTTTCTTTTTAAAATTATTAAGGCTCAAAGACTGGTCTGTGAAATAAAAGGACAATTTGTTGTAGACTTGTATGCATTGATAATATGGCCCATTGTGAAACAAAGCTAATCTGTGGCTTGGAATTTCCAAAAGTTGTTTGTGTCTAGTTTCATAACTATGAGTTTTTTTACAGTTTTCAAATAAATAAAGGTTGTTTTTTATGAAAAGTGCCAAGTGTAAAATATAAAGAGCAGGAAGGGTCAAAAGTTTGAATTTTTTAAAACTGGATCTACATGATTTTCTTGAGCTGATGCCAGCAATGACTCTGACGGCCTTTTTTTGTTGTTTAAAGATATATTTGCTAGAAGGTGAATTTTCCCAGCACAACAAACTGTAAGACATAATTGATCAAAAATAACCATGGTATACTAACATCACTGTCTTGTCATCGCAAATTCTTTACACAATCGTTGCGTAAACTACTATTTTGCCACACAACACTGTTTTAATGGTCTTTCCAGGCAAGGATTTAGTCCGGAAAATAGATGTTTGCTGCCTATTTAGTCAAATGAGATTTCATTATACTGAAATGAACTTTTACTGGGCACCAGCTGATTATAATTAACAATGAGTGGTTATAAACGAAGATATAACCTCTTTGAAAAGTTATGGGTAGGTAGTAATTATTAACAGGTTCAATCCTAGCCGGCACACACCTCTGTATATAATGTCTCTCTCCACGCGAGAGTGAGTGTGTTAAGTCCTTTAGTTGGTGGGAATATATTAAGGATTTGTACAGTTTTTTCGTTAGGTTAGTTTAGAGTAGTATGGGAAAAATATCACGCGTCACTCATCCAAAATCTGTTTGAAACCCTACTTGTATGAAAAACACAATTCTTCTGGACTAGTAATAGTAATGTAATATACTGTTATGTAGACATTCATACTTTATCTCAATTTTGCTACTCACATTCAGAGGGTAATTTGTACTGACTTGTGCCACTTTTACTTCACTGAGATCCCGCTTCAGTATTGTTGACATTGAATCATAAAAAATAGCCTATCTGTTACGGTACCTACTTATGTTTTCATCATATTTGTTATTTTGGAGGGGCCAGGACCCCCTTTATATTCGCCCCTGAAATAGATAATTGATAATTGATTTGTAAACTACAACTAAGGTTTTACTTTAAAATACTATTTTGAAACTTTAATGACAATAAATCTATAAAATTAAAAATTTAAAGAAAAGTAAATAACTCGCTTTGTCAAAGTTGTACAGTAATGTTTACTAAAAAAAATTGTTTCTGCAGATGCAATGATTTTTTTTTTGTAGATTGCGAATGTGCCAAACTGCGCAGAACAGGTCCCGCGTAGTGAGGGCTATCTGTATTTATTATCATGAACTGAGCATATTCTTTCATATCTACAAAAATGGTTTGTACAGTAGAGTCCCGCAAACTCGGCGTAACGTGGATTGGAAGGGTGCCAAGTTTGTGAAATGCCGGATTATTGGGAACTAGGGTTAAAAATAAGATCAATACAATTTTAAAGCTTTTTAACCGCCATTTTTATATAAAAAGCCAGTATTAAGTGATCAGATATAGTACAACAAACCCTTGGTACAGAGTTGTGAATTATATGACTTGACCTGGCTTGAGTCAATGTTTAACTCGGACACAAAAAATCACTAATTATCTTAGCCAGGTGATGGCCGAGTTTTCCAGACTGCCGGGTTATCGAGTGCCGAGTTTGCGAGATTCTACTGTAATACAATAATTCAGAGTTTACATATAATTAAGGCTTTGAAGACACTGGCTGGTTAGAAATAAAGATGTAGGAATCAGGATTGCTAGCATGAATATACCGGTAACAACTATTTCTTAATGTGACTTTCTTTTGCTAAATAATCTCTGTGAAGAATAAAGCAACTTATTATCCCACAGGATCTATCGAAGAGCTTGAACTTTGTAGACTTTTATAATGTTAATTGCCAGTCAGTAGTTAGCACCTTTATCTGTTTTGCATCAAGGATAGGTTCAATTCACGAAGTACCAACACCATTTAGAATTGTCAAACCACTTTCCTCATGATGATTGTATGATTTGTATTATCTCTGAATAAAACCTTTCAGACGTAGTTACTAAAACAAAATTAATGTATGGATAGTTCTTTGCTTGTTTGTTAAAATTTGTTTTCACATTGGTCTGGCTAATTTATTGATATCAGACAATGCAAACCTATTTAATTAATAGCATGTAGCTCTCAAAGTTATTGACTTACATTTGATAGAACTTTAAGTTATCCCCTTAGTTAATTAAAGCCACCATACTTTGTAAGATAATTAAAACCATCAAACTAATTGGGTTTATTATAGCAATCAGTCAAAATGTCCACGTTTAGGTTTTAAAAAGACACACATAACTTATATATATACATGCAAAAAAAGACATGGCTGTCAACAGCGCAACTTCCAAGATTTCGAAAGCATCGCTGGCAATGTTGTGGGTTCGAATTCTAGAGACACTACCAACTTTCATCAGCACTAGTGCTCTTATACTCGACCTCCTCACTTTTGCTTTGATTCAAACTTGTGTCTGCTCTAGTGATAGGTCGGTACTTCACGTCAAATGTCGGTTCCACCGGTTCTTGGCTAAAGGACCGGAACTGGGAATCGATGGTGATATCTCTGTACCAGTACCTTCGGTACCGAAAACTGTTGCCGACAATACCGGAAAATTACCAATATTGCTGTGATCGAGCAAGACGACGATGACGTTTCCGTGACCGGGGGAGTCAATAATGGTGTCTACACGGCCGCGGGAGATGTTCATGGTTTTGCCGCGATCGAAGGAGACGATGATGACGTTTCCGTGACCGCGGGAGTTGATGATGATGTCTACACGGCGGCGAGAGATGTTTATGATTACATGGCCCCAAGAGATGTTCATGATTTTGACGCGGTTGCGGAAGACGACGAAGACGTTTCCGTGACCGCTGGAGATGTTCATGATTTTGCCGTGATCGCGGGAGACGATGATGACGTTTACATAGCCTTTTTACGAATAAGTTTTATTTTCGTATTGCTTTAAGTATGGCCAACCAATACTACTAATGCAAAATACTCATTTAAAAAAAAATTGTAATATGCATATATTGTTAAAAAAAAAAACTAAGTAGCTTATCCCGAAAATTTTAAATTAGGTACTGATGGTACCGGAACCGAGAACGGATTTTGCCTAGGAACCGGTACCGGAACCGACTTTGAAAAAGTGGTACCGACCCATCACTAGTCGGCTCAAAGCCCAATTGGACAGGCAATGCAAGGTTAAAAGAGGCCACTCGCTTTAAAAATAAGCTGTCCAAATATAAACAGCATGTTTCAAAATTAATACGAAAGTTTTAAAATTTGTTAGTGGCTTTTGCATTAACATGCAAGTTATAAAGATACATCAAATGAAAGAGAAACTCTAAAAGATTTGTGAATATATCTAGAAGTGTCCAATGTTAGCACTGTTTGTCATATTCACTAGGGGTGTGTGAGTAATCCAGTGGTCGAGTATTTTTGGGCAGTATTTCAGTACTCGACTCGGCTTTTGAAAAAAAATAATCGAAGAGTCGTCAAGCTTTTGAGCTTGCTGAAAGCATTTATATTTGTACTGTGCTTCAGAATCTTTACTCCAACGAGATATTTTATAACTCTTACTGTCTCCAGGCCTTAAATCTCACCGAGATAATGTTGTTAAACTGAAAGAGAAGTGTAAATTGCTTGGGTTTGGATATCTCAAGAGAAAGACAAGACTAAAATGAAATGACAAGTTCACGCATAAAAACACGCCGCACACACACGCCGTAAACACGTGCGCGTGTCGGTTGCTTCTACACTATTAAAAATACTTGACTCGAAAAAGCTTGAAGCTCGCAAGTTTTTTGTAAAACTCAACTCGATTCATAAATGCATCGATACTATCTCATAATTAACAGGCTTCAGGTAGCATAACCAGAAATACAAACCAATAATTCATAAATACCCCATCATTCGTATCAAATACTTGGTTAACTAAGTACGATTACTAGGTAATAAAGTTAATTATTGGTTTCAGCTTATATCATTGATTCCTAAAAGTAATAATACGGCTTTAACTTAAGTCAGAAAGTGTAAACATTCACTTATGATCCGCTAAACTTGATTTTAATAATCGACCTTGGAATAAGAGGATATATTGAACATTTTTCAGACCATATAGAAAAGGCAAGGTTGAAGATTATTATTATTTTTTTATTAATCTCATTATTATTTTGAATCAAATGAGGCCTAGACCCATTAGAAATTGTTTTCCAAGCCACAGTGTTATACAAAGATAATTTGAAAGAACACTTGTTTTGTTTCCACACAAAACACCACTGAAAGAAATACAGTGCATTAGAACAGGAAAAGACTGCTGGATAAATTTTGAAAAAGGCTGCTATCAACCTTATTCTATAGTACAGTAGTCACGTAAAATGGCTGAATTTTTTTTAATGTTCTACTTTTGTAAAAAAAACCAAATCTAAGGCATTTAATTGAGTTAACTATCCAAAGTACGAACGTAGAGGGAATAGCACTTTTTCCTAGGGACGAAAGTAGTCAATCCCCGTTGTCACGTCAAAACATACATGTTTTAATTTTTTTGAACAATTTTAATGTTTTTTTTAAAGGAAACTGGTCTTGTATGTTAAGTTGTAGTCATAAACATATTTAGTTAAAAACTTTTTTTTTATTGTGCAACATTTGATTTTAAGCAGGGGACTATAATTCACTTGGCTGCCCAGGCAAATTGTTATGGTTTGGTTTGTTACTTTTGCAATTTCTCAATCTGGTTATGTTACTTTTGTTAACTGAATAAGCTTCCTTATAGTTAAAAACTAAACTAAGTTCAACCATAAAATCTGTGGTCAATGAAACAAACTCACCTCATAGTGTTCATATTCTTCAACATCAAAGTCAGAAAAGTCAAAGAAGTTTAGCTCATGAGCTTTATGAATTGCTTGAAGGCAGTCTTTCAGGTTAATATGGTACAGGGTAGTCCCATACGAAGCATCTCTGAGGATCAATTGGAAAAAAAGTATATAAATATACTACTTAGGTACTCATAACTACGTATTGAAAGTATTAGAAATCTAGCATAGTGCATTAGTTTGTTGGTATGGTATTGGTGGTTCGGTATGTAGTGCGACAGACTGTAAAACCAAGATGCAATGTCTTGGGATCACATCTTAATGTCGTAACTTAAAATAATTCATTAAACTTTAATGTTATACTATAGGCCTACTGGCTGACCCCTTGTTTTGCCGGATGATACTTACCAAGGCGGGCAAATGCAAGGTTAAAATCCACCAACTTTCAAAAATAATATAAAACTTTAAACAAAATAAACATTTCTATTAATTGTTGACTTACTTAAAACAACTTGCTGATTTGAAGTTTTTTATACTTATCAGCTGTAAAAAGGATGGAAAAAAAGTTCCGGGACAGTTAAACATTTCAAAAAGTAATAAAGTAGAGCTTTAAAACTTGATAAACAGCTACTGTGCATTAAAATCATTTTAACACATTATTCAGTGATGCGCTACCTTTTCAGGGGGACGGCCCACTAGGAGTCTGAAGAAAATCTTAAATGTCAAAGGTTTTTACTAGAAGAATACAATGCCGCAAATTCGAACTCAAACGGACAACCGAGTCAAAAATGGCAGCTGTTCAAAGATATCTTAAATTTGCCATTTTGAATCTATGAACGGCTATAATTTTTTTCTGAATTGTTATTTTGAGCTAAAATTTGTTGAATTGATTTTACTGATTAAGACCTTAAATTTGATGTGCATATCAACCTATGTATACGTTTATGATTTTCTTCCAACTTCTAGTGGGAGCCTCCCTGGGGTGGTAGCATATAACAGCAATGCATCTTTAGCTGTTTTTGACTCGGTTGTTTGTTTGAGTTCTGGTTGAGGCATTGTATTTTAATAACAAAGACCTTTAATTTGATGTGCATATCATCAACCTATGCTTACATTAAAGATTTTCTTCTGACTCCTAGCGGGCGGTCCCCCTAACGAGGTAGCGCATCACTGAATAATGAATAATGGGTTAAAATGAATTTAATGCTTAGTATTTTGCACCTTCTATAGGGCACAGCCTTCAAGTAGATTTTACTCTAGCCAACATGACATCTATAGAATTTGAAGCAATTCATACTTTAATTCAAGTTTATTTTATCTACAATGTTGTTTACTTGGTCAAATGTTTTTTTATAAGCGCTCCTCAGATTTTCTCTGATGGTCCAGTAGGCATACTCCTTGTTTTGTTGTAACTTGGATTGTGGATTCATGTGTCATACTTGAAGGTGTATTGTATTAATGACTCCACTCTAACAATTTATTAAGGGATATTTTTTTTTTTTTTTTCTGAGTATTAATGACCACCCAAGTAATCAAGCACTAATCCAACACTAGCTAAGGCTATGTGGGATTATTGCAGTTATGAAAACTCTAAAGTAAATATATTTATAGGAAATAGCAAAAGTAAACTTGCCTGAAATTGAGGAAAGGTGGATTCCTGGCACCCAATAAAATCTTGTGTACTTCATCAACAGGTTTCTTCAGGTAGATGATCTATAAAAAAGACAAACAATTCATTGCTAGCCTATGAATCAGGTACAATATTTGATTTCATTGTTATAGTATAGCCTCTGGATCACAGATTTTTACAATAAAAGGTTTAAATTACCTGTATCCGTCACGTGATCTTGGTTTGTAGTTAATTGACTACAGCCGTTTCGGGTTGTAAAAACACATCTTCAGGTCAAACTTACATTGATTTATTCCATATAGAAGGTAGGCGTCATGACCGCCTACCTTCTACCGGCGCCGTACGTGTCCGATGTCTATTACGCGTTTTTCATATTTTTTGTTTTGGCCAATTTTAATGTTTAATGTTTTGTGTATGTGTATGTGTTATTTTTGTGAACTTTAAACCTTATGACGACCATTCCATGGAATAAATCAATGTACGTTTGACCTGAAAATGTGTTTTTACAACACGAAACGGCTGTAGTCAACTAACTACAAACCAGGATCACTTGACGGATACAGGTAGTTTAAACCTTTTATTACAATATTTGAGTTATTGGTTAAGAGAACTACAACATAGAGCTTACCGCATAAGAGCCTATCAGGTAGGCTGCATTGACCCGTTTTTGTGCATCCATCGTTGTGTAATGGATAATCTTTTTCTTTCTGATTCCTGTAGTATACATCTGGAATAAGCAAGGATAATATTAAGAGGAATATTAACAAACTATTTTATTCCATGGTTTTAACAAGATAGATACGTACCTATTTAAATTTAAGTTTATATTTCGAAACATAAAACAAGATATAAAATTTTTCTTTTCATTAAACAAATATATGATGAATATATATGCTAAACATCCTTGTAGTTTGTGCGCGAAAAATGTAAATTCTAGTGCTTATTTATGCAATGAACTCTGTTAAAATGGAACCACATAAATGTGTTAATCCAACACATAATGAGGTAAGAAATTTTCTGTTAAAAGAACAACAGTTATGGCAGTGAACAATGAAAGTGAGATTTACCAAAAAATCCTTAGCAATGGAAGCTGCAAGAAATGTATTGTATACAGGCAAGAGACGAAAAATATAATATACTCTATTAGGTCAAAGTTAGAGGCTGCCCTATCCTCCAAAATGAAAATACTAAATTGAATAGAATATAAATCACAAGAAGCTGAGGAAAAATAATATGAAGTGTCTAAACTGTTGTGTCTAAATGAAGACCACAACAACCGGTAAACCAATAAATAATGACCGGCAAAAACCCAAAAATACCCCAAGAGTCACCAGAGAAACAATAGTTCCATCTACCAAGTGCCACAACAAATGTCCACGTATTTTACAAAATAGAACACCTGCAATCCAGATTAATTCGGTAGGACGCTCATATTTAGAACCAGATAAAAAGAACATCACCCAGACCCAAGCTCCAAAAGTCTACATTTGCCCAACACTTAATTGACAATAATCATGATTTTGATTTACCCTATATGACATAAATCAGTCTGAAAGTTCTACAGCACTGTCATAAGAGCCGCAAAATGGACGTGCTAGAAGAGTTTGAAATTTATAAACATCTTAAAAACCAGGATTTGAACCATTTCATGCTGAACGACAAACTCCAGTTCCAGTCGAATTATATTTTTTTTTTAACGCTTTGCTCCAAAAAGAAAACCAACATATCTACATCAGCTGACTACTGGTGCAATGATAAGGAAGACAAAGGAGCAGATAATTCTACTGGAACCACCTCGCAGTCTGTATCTGCTCGTGGTCGCGGCAATGTCGTCCAAATCGGTAGGCCTACTTAAATGTATTTTATTCACCCGTATGTGTCTTCACTTCACGTATGTGTCGTCATGTGTATTGAACTACATGTCTACCTGACGAAGCTATAATAAGTGGATTTTGATGTTCCTGCACTAAAACAGTTTGACAATGGTGTTCTGCCGAAACATAATGTAACTGAAGTACAAAAAATAATTTTGGAACTGCAGACGAATTAATAACCTTCACCTTATTTTAGTATTTCTATTTATTGTAACTGAAGGATTTTTCCAAATATCGGATTTGTTTTGTTAATATTTATTTTATTGAGTAGATTTTGAGAATTTTTTTTCTAATTTGGTTGTAGGGCCTAGCCTATGAGAAAATGTATTCAACGTTTAGTTTATTTTTATGTTTTTCATACTCTAGAATAATTTTTAGGTGTTTATTTATATTTTTGTATTCATGCCGTGTTTTGATCAGGTGTTCTGCAAAATATGATTTCATGGTTGTCTGTAGTCTGATTTTAAAGGCAACTATGTGTACTCAATAAATACAACAAACAAGTCATAGCTTCACGAATACACCGAATACATACTAAAACAAAACACATAGTTACCTTAAAATCATGCAACAGAATGACCGTGAAATCAAATTTTGCAAAACACCTAATCGAAACACGCCATGAATACGAAAATATAAATGAACACTTAGAAACTCTAGAGTATGAAAAAATAAATTCAACGTTAAATAAGATTTTCACAGACACACAAATAAAATAATGTCCTTAAAACTTCCTCGATACCATGAACATTAACAATTTAACAAAATCCAATATTTTTACAAATTCTTCAGTTACAATAAATAGAAAAATTATATAATACCAGTGTGTACAAAAATTAAACAGAAATCAAGATTATCCTAATTTGAAGCTAACTTAACAAATGATTATATTCATAGTTACCTTTCTTTATTTGTTAATGTATTTGTTTAAGATTACAACATGATTATGACATTAGAGTCAAAACTATAGTTCGGCCGCTAAGATATCGACCTGCACGCTAATGCTAACCAATGCTAGATGAGGTCGCTATCCAAGCAGCCGAACTATAGTAGTTGATTAATAAAATGAATTTAAAAGGGTACTAGTGTTTATTAATGCATTCAATTATTTAAGTTTTATATATATATATATTATATGTACATATACACTCCCTGTCAATTTTTTATGGCTCACACTAGAAAAACTAAACTCTGCACACATTAAATGTAAATGCACACTATAAATTTTATAGAACGTTATGAAGTAATTTTTGGGAATAACTTCTACTTCCTGTTCATCACTGATCGGGGGTTTTTGGGGGAAACTCAAAAATTTCAAATGGTAAGACCCATCGAGTGACCCCTCATTTTGAAGGTTGTGATAAAAGAATAGGTACTAACAACGCCAACTAGGGGTCTCTATCTAAACCCAGTAAAAAATGGCAGTCAATTGAAATTCTCAGAAGTGAAATTTAACTTGCAGCTTTCCAAGTCTGGAGACCCCCTGTAAATTTTTTAATAGCTCACAATAGAAAAACTTAACTCTGCACAACTTTGGGGGATGTTATGAAGTACTTTTTGAGCCTAATTGTTACTTGGTTCGCAAACCTAAAAGGCGGGATTTTTTGGGGAAACTATAAAATTTGAAATGTTAAGCCCCATTGAGTGACCCCTCATTTTGAAGGCTGTGATAATAGAAAACTAACAACGCAAACTATAGGTCTCTATCTTAACACAGTAAAATATGGCAGTCAATTGATGTTACGTAAGGAAAATTGTAAGTTAATTCTGATTTCTAAAGATTTTAATTGACTGCCATATTTTACTGGGTTAAGATAGAGACCTCCAGTTTGCGTTTTGAGTTTCCCCCGAAATCCCCCATTTTGGGACTGTACACAAAGTGGCAGTTATGCCCAAAAAGTACTTTATAACATGCCATTAAGGTGTGCAGGCAGAGTTTAAGTTTTCTAGTATGGGGCGTTAAAAAAATGACTGGGGGTCTCTAGACTTTTTATTAACCCTGTATATATAGACTGGCTGTTACCCACGGGCTTCACCCTGTTTGGCTTCATAAGTATTAGTAAAACTATTGATTGCAATACCGGTTTGGGTGGCATTTCGAGTGGCTTTTCATGGTTGCTTCGAAGAATGACAGTGGACTTCATAAGCTGTCAGGGCAGAGCCCTAAGAGAGTAGTAAAATAAGATTACTGTGACCATTAAGCCTGTGGTTGTATCAGAATCAGATCAGAATAAAAACTGCCCAGTTTTCCTATTTAATGCTTAAAGAATCAGTGTAGGCCTACCAAATTTCAGCCTCCTACATAAATGGGAAATGAGAATTACTTATGAGTGAGTGAGTGAGTCAGTCAGTGAGGGATTTGCCTTTTATATGTTTAGATAGCCTATACATATACCCTATTTATATGTATGATGGATTTTAACGGATTATGTTTTTGACCTCCGGGGAAATCAAAACCAAAAAGAAAATTAGTCCTGGGTAGGCCTATAAATAGCTTACGGTATTCCCTAAATGGAAAATTCGCTATTACTAGAGGTATAGGCTTACTAGGCCTATTCAAAATCTATGTTATTATTAATTGTTTGTAGACTTGACTCACCTGGAGTTTCTGGTTGACAGTCGTACAGTATCTATACAACATTGCCAGATTGAGAGGGCCGAAATCTGAATAAAAATTTTCATAGACCAATTCATCATCTATGCAAAAGTAATGAGTATTAACGGTTGATTTTGGCTTGCCACTGGTGATTCGTAAGAAGGTTACAAAATAGAGTCGATCTGTAAAAATATTATGCTTATTAAAAAACTAGGTAACTTTCAATACCTAACTTAAAGGCATAAGCTACTAATGAAACAATATGTTTATTTCCACATAATATATACAGGAAACAAAATATTCAATTACAAAATATAAACTAAGACCATAAATCTCCCTCAGGGGAAGTTGTCTGTCAACTACACGGGAGGCCTCTTGTAGGCTGGCAACCCCGAGGTACCATAGCCAACCCCCAGATCTCTCCTCTTCTTCGTTCTGGGTTCTATGGCCAGCAAATATAATTTTTTTGCTAGCCCTTCTTTCTCCTTCGCTTTCCTATTGAAGAAATCTTCCCTTCTCCTTTACCTTTCGCTTCTGTTTATCAAACCTAAGTGGTGTTAAGCGACCCGTGAGGGGAATGCCACCGGGCTCCTCAGCGGTGGTGTGTAGGGGCCTAAGGAGCCTCCAGGACACCGGTCGACCTCCTGGAGAAATCAGCCTTACCCGTACATGCGGGGCTCTGTCTAGGCTCATGGGTTAGGTCACTCAGAGCAAGACCCCGCTCTCGAAACGAGTGCACCAAGAGCAAAGGGGACTCTGATGCTCTCAAAACCAGAAACTTCCACTACGATGGAAGTTCAACTCCCCCGACTGGAAATAATGGAGGACGAATCTCCGCTCACACCAGTTACACTGGATAGAGAAGAGGAGCTTTTAAGTAGTCCTATAACACAAAAATCTTCACAGAGACACTCAATGGCGCCACTGAGCAACTCAGTCGTCTGAAGATGAAAAACCGAATCTCACCACAGCACAAAGAAGGGAGGCCTTAACCCATTTGCACCGGTTTATTTATTAACAAAAAATCCCAGTATCACGGAAACATTAAAAATAAAAATATATGCTTTTGACTATTTTTTATGATGATTTATAGTATTTTATAGCTGAAAAAATTAATAAAATAAATATTTTTATATTATTTTGAATTTTTTATGTATATGTATATGTATTTAGGATTAGGAAATTTTTACACTATTTTATATATTTCTAAAAAAATAGGTACATATACCTGCCACAAAAAATATTAGACTATTTTTTATTTTGTTTTATAGCTGAAAAATAAAAAAAACATATAGTGTATACAAAATTATATATTTTATATGTATATGTATATTTATTTAGGACACGTTTTCACTATTTTTCATAAATGTATATGAACGCCTTTAAATAAAAACAGTTAAATAGCTGCCTATATTACGTAAATATGAAATCATTCAAGGAAAATGATATTTTGATGAACAAATTTAAATATTATATGTATATATTGTAAGTATAAATGGTTCATTTTTTTGAAAAAAACCAAATTTTCACATTTCATGAATGACGTACCAGTACGTCAGCCGTGATACTGTACATCACTGACTTGACGTACTGGTACGTCATCCGATGCAAATGGGTTAAAGGCGAAATTTCTGGAATGAGGTGAAAAATTCGGCTAAGACAAGTGGTGCAGGGGAAAAAAGAAAACCCCCAAACGACCACAGGAGGTAAGAACACTGGGGCCAACTGCTGGTCTAAATGTCGAGACGAGGGTAGGCAGGTGCCCCAGAGGTGCAACGGTCACTCCGCCCTCGGCAGAAGGACGTGCAAAGAAGGCCAGGGGTTCAACCCAAAGGTCTGAGCAGGTAAAAGACGTAGGGGAACCTGGTGCGTCCAATGAAGTCTCATACAGGGACATCGCTGCTACTAAAATCGCCATTGTCCTTGAAGACTACGAATCAGTTAGCCTAAAAATTAAGCTATAAATTGGTGTGCCAAGAGTAGTAGCCTATGATAAAAAATATTGTTCTTTACAAACATTAAAAAAAATACTATTAAACCCTTGTTTATTCCACACAAGCTTGTTTTTTTGAAAAAAAAAAAATATATATATAATTTAGGCCCTTGTTCGTACCTATGCCAGTGGAGTAGCATTTTTGTTATAAAGTTGAAGTCAAACCCTTTTGTAATTAAAGAGTAGGCTAGGCCCTACTAAGTTATTGTGTTTCCTGTTACCAAATAGTAAATTATGTCTAAGGCTTCCATCTTATCTAACCTAACCTAACAACTGAAATCACATGAGCGACACAATGCCAGCGACGGCAAAATTATAAAGGAACACAATACAAAAGTGTCCTAGCTGAGCGAGTGACATGGACGTAGACCTAGTAAAGCTAATTTACAAAGGCACTAGTTAACGAATAGTAGCCTATATTGTAAGTAAAAAATACCTAATTTAGTTTAAGTTGAGGTGACCACTAAATTGGCCATGATCAGCTGTAGGCTATACCGGCACATCAAGCTTGCCAGCCTTTTTGTGGACAATTTTCCTGCCGTGACGTAGTTTAACGATGAAAGGGCAGTAGGCGAGAGATGTGGTTACTGATGTTCATTATACAGGGTATCGTTAAACAATAACTTACTAGGTAGGGCCTATCTGCAATAATTACAGGATTCACAGCGGGCACAATTTTGTCGCCAAAACAGCCTTATAGTCACCCAGCTAGAACAAGGCATTACCCTAGGTCGTTAAACGAGGGTACAGTTCCGCAGGAAACCTACGATATATTTAGGACGAAATTAACTTAGTTTGATATAGGTTAAGTTACATAACACTTATTAATTAAAATATAAAATTGGTAGGCTAGATCCTAAATATTGAATGATAATAATTTGTATTTCCTATTATGGGTCCATTGAAGAGGAAGGGCCGCCCACCACTCTTGAACAGTGTTTACTCAAATTAACCGGTAAAGCGAGCTGAACAAGAATATGCAAAAAAATTCAAGATCCGATTAATATTAACGGGGATACGGCCGAAAAAGCGCGGCCGGAAAAGTTCATTAGTCACAGGAACAACGGCATCAGGAGGATCCGTAGGTGCTGCTGTCTGTGGGAGCGATTTATAGGTTATTTGGTGAATATATATTCTTTATACCCTTGATTATATTAGGTTAGGTTGTCTAACCTAACCTTTTTTTTGGCCATTTTGACGCTAACTCGATTTACCGACGCTTTTCCTGCCGTATCTCCGTTAATAGTAATCGTACCTTGAAAAATCTTGCATATTCTTGTTCAGTTCACTCTACCGGTTAATTTGAGTATACACATGACTCATTTCCGCAAAAATTGGGTTTTTCGTTTTTCCGGGGAAACCGCGCTTTTTCGGCCGTAGGCCTATCTCCGTTAATATTAATCGGATCTTGAAATTTTTTGCATATTCTTGTTCAGCTCGCTTTACCGTTTAATTTGAGTATACACATGACCCATTTCCGCAAAACTTTGGTTTTTTTTCCGTTTTTCCGCTTTCCGGGAAAACGGTGCTTTTCCGACGAAAATGACAATCATTTTTTAATTCAGGACGTAATTTAGCATAAGAATAGTGAAAAAAAAAATTTGTAGCGACACGTCCGTGATCGATATAATTAGGCCTACCAATTTCTAAGCTAAGATAGGCCTAGTAGGCCTACCTAACTTATAGAGGCTACGTAAATGCAAATCCTGTTGTTGGGTTCAGCCATGATAGGCTCGTCATTGAAACAGCCAACAGTGTGAGCAATGTCAATAAAAAAAGTAGAGATAGGCCTAGGCTTTTTTGGGCTCCAACCAAATACGAGCAAGTCCATTGAAGTATTGATTTTTATTTTTTAAGGCCTAGGCCCTAAGGCTAATCTCAATATCAGGTCCAGGAGTTAGGCAAATTTGCAATGTTTAGGTTACATTTCTTGTTAGCCTATCACCAGCATTAACTTACCAGGCCTTATGAAGGCTATGCCTAATATCTATTAGGCCTAGGCCTATGGTATTCACTGTATGTATTCATCTCACCTTTGATAAACTCTGAGGCACTCACAACGGGCAAAGTGCCCAAATCCAAATTATAGTGTTTTTCCATCGTCAGAGTCTTGGGCTGATGGATGTCAACTTCATGGTTAAGTTTAAAATCTTAGCGTTTCCTAGCTGTTTTACCGATAACTTGTGAAAAATCATAATTATCTCAAAATTCAGTTTCCAACATCTTTACGGTTCGGATTGGAAGTGAACCGTTACACGACACTTGGCTATGCAATTTATCACTTATAAAAATTGGCAGGTAGGCCTAAATCTTAAATGTAACGCTTATTTTTATTCAAAATTCATTACAATTACAACCAAAACAAAAACTTCGTAATAATGAGCACTACAATGGTACAAAAATAGAACACTCAAGTTATGTTTACGGTAAACTGTGACAGCGACGGCGATAGCTTTGCTTTGCTTTGATTATTTCAAACCTACACAAACGCACACGCACACATTCATTGTTGCCAACTGCTTGAAATGAAAATCTGACTACTTAACTGTCATTGGCATGCTACCACTGACTGAGCTAGAGATAAAACACAACTGAAGGTAGCACTTAATGAGATAATAAAGCATTTTTGAATTTTGTTTAGTAGTAACTGTTACGTTTTTCACTTGTTTTGTTGCACACCTGTCATGTTTGCCATCTTGTTGTTATTATTATTGTTGTTTTGTTTATTAACAAATGTATTCGATATTGTACTATAACCATTGTATTTTGTACTAAACTAAGTTAGTGTAAGTAAGTCTTGATCAAAAGTTTGTATCAATATCAAAATGAAGCTGTCCGTTAGTCCGTTGAAATGTAAAATAAAAAAATAATAACGAGTAGGTGGTCAGTTGTCGTGGTCCCAGTTCCTGTATCTACTACCCTACATACTTTACAGACTTTTCTGAAATGGTGATCATACGAAGGTAGGTGTTGTAAGCCAAGTATGAATGGAGTGGAGATGCAGTGTAGGATGAATGACGTGATCTTGTAGTGTTGTAAATGACTAAGGCTATCATGTTCCTTGGACAGGACTTTTTTAATAGCCCATAGCCAATGGCAACTAAGGGTCCTACAGTTTTTATAGAGAAATCAGAACCACATTTTTGCCTTGTAATATAAGAATTGGTCTAATTCATAGTAGCCTACTCACTAGTGTGGAGGTTAATCCACACCAGGTCATGCCTATAAATATCCAAAATTCAACTTAGTAGACGGCAATAAGAGAAAGCGTTTCAAATGTGCAAGAAACATCTCTGGGTTCCCTAAAACCATAGACAAAAAGAATAAAATATATACCGTCAGCTGTGCTGCGGTTACCATAGCTTCTGGCGCACACCGCTTGGAGCGCCATGTAGTTACGGCGTACACGCTACGTAAACTACAGTGGTGTGCGCCGGAACCTATGGTAACCATGGTAACCACAGCACGGCTGACGGTCTATATTTAATTCTTTTTGTCTATGCTAAAACAAAGTGAGGCAGAAATGATACCTGACATGGATTTCGACACGTCCAGGAGGAGCTCACGTTTGAGTCTTTCTCCTGTTCACGTCCGTTTTCTTACTCCAAATGCCAAACCCATCGCCGCTCAAGGAGACTCTATCAGAGCAGATGAGCAGTGAAAAAGAAGAAGTATTTTGAAATGTCAGTCAAATGAAGCCAGCGACACACAGACAGAAGAACATTAGCCAGGACGTCAAGACTGAGATATCCAATCTGGAGCCCTATCTTAACCACATTCTCCACCTGCGCAAGTCGTGTGAGAGAACCCTCGTCTCTTCGGCGATGCAGACCACGCCACTACAACAAAAGTCTCAGTTCTCAACTGCGGATAGCTCTAAGTGAGCCTCCTTAATCCCAGCTGAGCCTGAGACTTAAAAGAAAATGAAGGTCGACGAAAACAAAACAGGAGAGTGAGTGGCAGATGTGAAACGGAATTGCAGGCAGAAGAACCCCCCTTAGCAGTTTGTGGTCTGGCCTGGTTACGAGACGGTAAAGGCCCAAGAATAGTAGAGCATCTAAGCAACGCCCTGATGCTAATCTCTTAAGCCGACAAGCGGAAAGACCAACGCTGACGTGCTTGGTTAGATCCGTCAAAAGGCGAAGTAGCGCAAGGACAACGAAGCCTAATCAAATCGCTCAGGGAAACCAGAGCTGGTGACCTAGTAGAGTTTGGGCATTCCTCCGGGACAAAGGCAGATTTCGGCGCCAACTTGAAATCGACCCTTGGTGAAAACGACGCGGTCTGAGTTCTCGAGCCGAAGTTGACGTTGGAAGTGAGAGACCTCGATGAACTCACGAGCGAGGAAGCAGAGGTCTCCTCGTTGTGGACAATTTAATCAGCTCTCTCAGTGACAGTGGTGTATTCGTTCAAGGATATGCTGACAACATTGTGATACTGGTTGTGGGCAAATTCAATAACACGGTCTCCGACCTCATGAACACGACTTTGATGTCAGTTGGACAGTGGTGGACAGAGAGAGGCCTTTACAATCAACCCCTCCAAAGTGGTGGTGATCCCCTTTACCAGGAGGTGGGATTTTAATGGAATCGGACCTCTGAGACTACAAGGCTCAGTGCTTGAACTGCAGAATCAGGTAAAGTACCTGGGTGTGGTATTGGACCGAAAGCTGCATTGGGAACAACACTAAAAAAGGTTATTGATCGAGGTAAGTGGTTACTCATGGCATGCAGATGAATGGAGGAAGGGACCTGGGGGCTCAAGCCGGGGCTCATGCACTGGCTGTTTGTCTACGTGGTAAGGCCTGCCATGACATACGAATCACTCATATGGTGGCCCAAGATGAACTCGGTATCAGTGGTGAGATATCTGGCGGCCGTCCAAAGACTCACCTGTCTCATCATCACGTGCGCAGTGAGTAGCTGTCCGGGAGCCTCACTGGACTGCCTTCACAACCTTACCTCGATTGACCTGCATGTCAGGGTCACTGCGAGGAGGACTGCTTACAGACTCCAGTGCGAAAACCTTTGGTTGTATGTTGGAGGATCCCGAGGTCACTCTCGGATCACTCAGATGGTATGACGGGAGGTACTGGATATGCCCTCGGACCACATGCCGATTCGATTCTTCTTCGCCAGGCCATTAACCGTCATCCTTCCATCCAGGGATGAGTGGATGTCGGGTGGGAATCCTCTCCCACAGGGCGACCTTGAATGGTATACTGATGGACAAAGGTAAGAAGTGGGACAGGGGCTGGAATTCAAGGAGTGCAGAACGGGGTGAACTCGTGTCTTCCCATGGGCACACACCCAACTGTGTTCCAGGCCGAATAAACTGCGATAATGGAGTGCGCTAGTGAGAACCTGAGGCTGGGCATCGTGGACATTAACATGTGCATTTTCACAGACAGCCAGGCTGCGGTTAAAGTGCTTGACTCCTGCGAGTTCAATTCTAAGGTGGTCTGGGACTGCCTCACTGCAGTATGCGAAATGGACAGGCTTCCTAAGCACTCAGGGATGGAAGGGACCGATGTGGCTGGAAAGTATGTCTGTCAATGGGTCCACCATCTCTCGTGGGTATGCATGTCACTCAGTCATCATTTTCTTTTCCCAGACTCTCCCATTTAACCCTTAAAACTATACCTTATTACGTTTGTCATACATTGTATAGAAACTTGCCTTCACATATTCGAGAGGCGGAGAGTGACAGCGTCGCTGTGTTTAAGCGTAGAGTCATGAGCTGGCTTTTAAATATCGGCAGGGAGCAATCAGAAGGATTACTCAAATCATTGTACTCGTAAATTTCTGCAGTTTCATGCGTCACCAAATCACTTTTTTTCCTTCATTGCTAAATACCACTTACAATCACTAAATTTGAGTTTTGGATGTTTCGATGCAATTAGGTTTTTTTTTCTCTCTCTTAATCTTGTTAATATTTTTTTATTTACTATCATCATTAAGTGTCTAAGTACTCCTGAATGTTTATGGACCTGTGTATAGCTGTATTAGCAACTCATTCCCAAACACAGACGTATAGACTACTTGGGAATTATTTTTCCTGTACACACAATTGTTAACAAACTTGTAACACATTAATTCAGGAATAAAGAGATTTTGATTTGATTTGATTTCATGCCATGGGCTCAGGAGGAACACAGGCTAAGGGTTAGGCTTCAACACCATAAGGTAAGTAAGCTCACCCTCTTCTCCCCTTCCCAGACGGACACCTCCAATGCTCTACGATTAGACAGGAGTCAACTTAGACAGATCACAGAGGAATGGCCACTGGCCATGGCTTCCTGAAACTGCACCTGCATCGCTTGAGGATCCACAATGGAGACACCGTATGTAGAAAATGTGGGCAGTCCGAGGAGACTACAGACCATTTACTATCTATGACTGTACAGCTCTGAACTGGGTAAGGGGTACTCTTGGATCAATGACAAGGGACAGACACCTTCCTCAAGAGGAGCTCATTAGGATGCTGAAGTTCGCCAAGCAACTCAGGTTCGACTGACTCTGACGCACGAAGTGGGGAGCACAAAAACGCCCATCAGTGGCTGACGTGCAACAGGACAAGGCCCGCCCCAACAGAATCAATCAATCAATCAATCAAGAGGTCTTCACTGCAGCCAAGCCCGTTCTCGGCATCTCGAAAGCTTCCGCTCGAGGGCAGAAGATGGCGATACTGACATTGGGAGGCAGAGATGTAAAAAAAACTCCTATCTGAAGGGCATACAAAGCTCCCAAGGTACTCAAGTACTTATAGAAGTGTCAGCTTGAACCAGACCATCCTAGTACATATACCAATATAGAGTGGCGAAAAGTGTGGGGAATATGACACACTTGGTTTACAGATACTACTCCTAGCGTGCTTTATTGCTATACGATATGATTATTGTGCTTATTTCAGTGCTATATTTCAAGTTCTCTCAGAAATATTTTGCGTTGAAAGGACTTTGTATCAAAGTTTTTTTTTATAATTTTGATTATTTACGGTTTACAGGTACGCTTTCTAGTTGAATCACTGTCAGTATGTTCCTTTCATTCACCCTCTTGTCAATTATTCTTGTTGTAAACAGCCTCAACATTTCCCTCAACGTTTCTTACAAATTTCATTATATAGTTTTGTTTTTCTCTTGTTGTTTCTTGTCCCCTTTTTGAACCACTAAATTTTAAACGTTTCACTTATAAGATCATTTCTATTCTTAGTACCCAACCTTGAAATCGCTGATTTCCTGTATCATTGTAATTAACCTACAATTGTAAAACGGTTTGCACTATTTTTAGCTCTCGCTCCAAACGACCTTATACAATTGAATTGATTAAAAACCGTATCGATCAACCACCCGCGGGAAAGTGGTTTCAAGGTCATCAACGACAATATGTCAACCGAATGACTGAAGGATAACCGAATGTTCGGTATACGCTAGGGGGTGGGTGGGGAGGAGGCGCGTGCGCCAAGTTCACACTGCCACTGCGCCTAACGATCGGCCACATTTAGCGGGTCATTGGGTTATTAGCAAGCGGTGAGAGAGGCGGCATGTCGCCGCGACTGAGCGGCTAGAGCATGCAGCTGACAGTGCTTCTAGGTCTGGGGTTGTGCGTTTGTAGGGTCGGGTCGAGCGAGTTTCCAGAGCGGGAATGTTGTGACCCTGTGTACCCCCTGCCCGCGGTCTCGGCGTCGGTAACCCCGGACCCTCCGAGCTCGGTGTCGGCGTCGTCCGTCACTCAAGAAACGCACACAGGTACCGCAACAGCATACCACACACCGCACACCGCACCGCACACCGCACCGCACAGTATACTGAATGTGGCACTGTGCGGGCGGCGCGCCGCAGGCTTTCTCATCCTGCTGGCGCTCACGCATTAGGTTAAGGATATGTTGTGAACGGCAAAAAAACTGTTTTAATTCAGTCTGAACTCGAATCAAGTATTTCAATATTTTATTTACTATTTTAATCTTTAACTAAGTTTAAATTTAAGTGATTATTTTAGATTAGAATGATCGATGTTTGGGGTTTAAAATTAACCGTATATTCGTTGTGGCGAATCTTTGCATAAATACTGTAGGAATTTAAGTTTAAGTTTTTAATCCAAGGGCATTTAGCAGAGAATAGCATATTATCAACACGGTCATAATTGTTTTAAGCTACGTAGGGGGCATTAGTCACTGGATTACAGATATTAAGAGTTTATTACAGATTAAATCAGTTCTCATAGTGTCATATAAATTTGTCCATTAGTAGAAACGCACTGAAAAACGAGGGTATAAGTTAAACGTACATCCGCAATGCAGAATGGTCAATTTTAAGATGCCACCAAAATAACATCAAACTGGGGCAGAAATTTAGCCTTTAGGTTGTGGTAACAGTCTTGCTAATCTTCCTTGCTCTAGACTTTATTTTCCCATCCGAATATATTATTTAATAACTTGTAGGTTATTAGATTCTCAATCTTATTCATAGTTGTTCAAATCAAACACATTTTAAGTGAGGTAATGTTTCAATGCCGGATATCTTAAACTGTTTTAGATAGTAAACAATCTTATATTTTTAAATAAAAATACCAAAACATAACAAATCCTATAACAATGTGATTAACATGTTTCTTAACATGTAAAGTTAAGCTTACATGTGGATGTACTTGAAGTTAAATCTAGACTAATCTCATTACATGAGGATGTACTTCCGGTACTTGTCAAATCAAATTAAAACATGTAATGTATATGTTATACATTTGGTATAAGAAAATATAGTTTGAAAGTCATAAATGTAAGAGTCGTTGGTATTCCGATTAATATTAATGATACAAACAATCGCTTCAGTTGTTTGTCAAACTTCTCTCACAAAAACAGAATGTGTCGCCTAACGAATCACGCTGTTCCGAATAAAAAAAAGTTCAATAATATGTTCCGGGTTTTACTCTTAATAAAACAATTATTGAATGAAAAGAAGACTTTTAGGCACTTTTGGTTTTTAGAATCATTTTAAGCATTGTAGTAACCTACATGCAATGGTTTTGTCCAATTAATTACGCAACAACATACTTACAACGACAGCAGTGACCTGAATGTGGGTTTGAATCACACCTCTTCTTAGTAATAGGCCTAAACCATGTTTGTACCTAGTAACGAGTCTCATATCTAATCATAAAAATTCGTCTGTTAATAAGACATAAGATCTTTAAGTGAGGGAAACAATTCCTACTATTACACGTATTTCACTTATAATTATTCAGGTTTTTATACTTTTGCTGCACAAATAACTACTTTAATTATAATTCCAGACCAATTTAATCAAAACCAGTTTGTTAATAATATTATTTCCATATTGTATGGTGATAAAAGACATAGACCTTAACTCTAATATTTCATCTATTACAGTGAAGACAATCAGATAAAAGGGTATATCACGGAGAACCTATAAATTACATTTTGGCAAATGAGGCTCAGTTTGAGGTTTATTAGTGATGGGATTGGTCTTAAAGTTAGGGATAAGGGGCGAGAGAGGAAAATATATGAGTAAAGCGAGATAGATAGACGGGAGGGGAGTGGATGAATATCTGTGCACGTTGTTGACCTTGATTCCAATAGTACTCAAGGTTAGGGATAGTTCGGGGAGCAGGAGGTAGGGAAGGGGGAAGGGGATGGAACAAATTATCAGCTCTGCGCTGTGACCTCTACAGCCCTACGAGTGGCTGAAACAATCTGTTCTCTCTTTCTCCCCCTCTCCCCTCCTCCATTGCATCTTCCACTTAATTTGTACGTTTATCGTGTTAACTTCACAATATGTTTGATACAGTATTGTAACAGACGTTTAATTATCGCCGACCCTGTACCAACCAGACAAGTACAACACAACAACATTCTACCTCATACTTGACCGTAAACTATTCAACGCGTTTACTCAGGTTAAATATTCGGATAGTGTAATCTAAATGGTACTCTCTAACAGAAATATTCGTAAAACTGATTACTTGAGGTAAATGTTCGAGTAATTTTCAAACGGTTGTCATAAATGTCATTGGTATTCAACTTCTTCTGGTGACAAAAGTCTAACAATGAATATTCTCCTTCCTACAAAATTATCATAGTTACTCCCACCGCTTACCCATGATAAAGGTTTTTGGCAAGCTTATGAGAGAAGGTATTCGTAAGATTGCTGATACCGTTTATTTGTGCTTATTTTTGAGCCTATTATATTTTATAAAGGGGTTCTGCACATCTACAGACAAATATATTTCTAACCGTATGCGTAGATCTTCCCTGCTATGCACAGGAGCTGAGAAAAAATGGTTTCAATAAACATGCTTGTCTATTAATATATATAATTAGCCCCAAGTTAAATCTCCATAAGAAAAGTTGAATTTCCATTTTTGACCCAATTAACATAACTATTTTCAAAATACCAATGAAACCTGCACATATAGGACCGATATTTTTTTTACAACTCGCGTGTAATTCGGTTCAGTAGTATGATCAGGCTAGCTGTCATAAGATTTGCAAAAGTGTTTTAATAAATAAGATTATAATTGTTATTGTAACCAAAATCAACAAAATGAACAAGTGGAGCGCCTGCCTATAGCGTGTATGCAATCTAAACACTGTACTCATATTGCAGCGGGGTCAATGAAGGCACTACTCGCAGCAGCTGGTATCTCCTTCATCTATAGTTTCCCAGTTCACACCGTTTTGTAGTCCAGTTTGATGTATTTCTGGACCTACTTTGTGTCATTTTATTAGGTTGAGATGATCATAAAAAGACACATAATACGTCCGTACAAAATGAGTTTTCTGCATTTTTGTTTGATATGTTTAAAAGTTTTCTCATCCTAAACATTGACTAAAATTTACTCAAACTCGTACTTCATGTGTCACAGCAGCCCTATTTTGCCAACAATAATTTAGTGTGTGTAATTTAAAAATGTGTAAAAGATTATTGCGGAAATTCAATGCACACCTTTTATTTCGGCAAAAGTAATGGTCATTATGGACAATTTACCACTTAAACTAACAAAACGCCTGTTCAATTGTTGAACATGTATAACTAATAACTCACTTAATAAATACTGATCCAAACTTTTACAACCATTTAACGAAACATTCTGCTAGTGGTAGAAACGAACAATCTGCAAGCAAAAATAAAATCCCCGTGAATTTATTTTGGGAGTTCAAACATATCCAAAATGTAAATGTTTCTTAACACGTCCTTTATAAGAGTTATAGTGGCTACAAACGTTAACATGTTCCCAAGGTCTCACATGAAGCAGTTTTAAACCTCTAGGTAATTAAAAACAAGATTCGTCACAAAAATTTTACATCATTGTTATTTTGAATGCTAGTTCGATCTTGAAAACAGTAAATAATGTTTTGCGGTTCGAAACTGTGCCCATCGACTAAAGGTCGATTCACACACATCAGTCCAGTCACAGCTCCGTTACAGTCCAGTTACAGTCCAGTCACAGTTGCATCCGCAAATTCTCAGTCATGTCAGTCATTTGGTTGCAGTCACTCTTCCGTCACTTTATTTACAGTGTTGTTAAAGTCAAAAGTGTTTAATTAAAACACAATATTCTATCAAATTTTCATCGTTCGTCTTATTGGTTGTTACAAACATTACTTAAAATATAAAATCGATCATTCAAATAAAAAAAATACTATTTTCTAACCTCAAACACGTCCTTCAGGCGTCCGAACAATAAAAAAAATAACGGCGAAAAGAAATCTGAAATTGACTGACGGACGCCTGCAGAGCTACTGACGGAACTGCAACGGGTGAGTGTAGATAGTGCTATAGAACATCCATTATGGTCGATTCACACACATCAGTTACGGAACGTCACACTTCAGGCACGTCACAGTTAACAAAAATATTCTTTAATGGATTTTCTATTGCGCTATCTACACTTATCCGTTGCAGTCCCGTCAGTCGCTCTACCGGCATCCGTCAGTTAATTTCAGATTTCTTTCCACCGATACTTTTGGATTGTTCGGACGACTGACGGACCGGTTTAAGGTTAGAAAATAGTGTTATTGTTGTTTAAATGGCTGTGTTTATATTTTGAGTACTGTTTGTAACAATCAACAAGATGGACAATGAAAACTTGATAGAATATGGGTTTATAATTTAAAACTTTTGACTGTAAATTACTGTGAACTTTAGAGACGGAAGACTGACTGAAACCAACTGACGGATTATTGACTGAGAAATTGCGGATGCAAATGAGACTGAACTGTTACTGGACTGTAGACTGTAACGGAACTGTGACTGAACTGATATGTGTGAATCAACCTTAAAAGAATATTTTTGTTAACTGTGACGTGCCTGAAGTGACTGGACTGCAACGTGCCGTAACTGATGTGTGTGAATCGACCTTAAATGGTCCTAGCTAATAAACCAGCTGATCTTAGTCAGTTACTTAAACAATGATGTATAAACAAAGCATCTCACTTTATTCTACACACATCCTTCATTAATTTTTAAGTTTAAATATGACTAAGTAGTGTCCCCATCTTAATTGGTTATACAAATGATAGCATACCTAGTTTCAGAAGATTGATGAGTTTCATTTAAAACACAAAACATGAATTTTATTAGGAAAAATCTCAGCAAGCATTCCCCTTCTAAGGACGAACTACGGTCATAGATAGTTTTAAGAAAGTTCTCAGAAAAAAAACATACATTTTTAGGCATTCTTATTCGAATGAATAAAATGAACTTATTCGATTTTAAAAACCACGATTGAT